ATAATAGTGCTATTTAATTTACTATTTCTACTTCTAGAAATAGGATAAAGACAAGTATAAACAGAGGAACTATATTTACATTGATTTTATTTTTACATAGATTTCCACACAGTCCATAAGTAAATTATTACAAATATTACTGTCTGGTAAAAATCCTTGAATCCAGCTGTTTATTTTGGATATTATTCCATTACAGATTAGTGTTATATTTTCTTTTATAATTGTTTGAATTAACTCATTCTTAGTGTTGTGCTTTTTAGAAGATGCTGCTAAAAAAGAAAAGCGATANTTTTACATAGATTTCCACACAGTCCATAAGTAAATTATTACAAATATTACTGTCTGGTAAAAATCCTTGAATCCAGCTGTTTATTTTGGATATTATTCCATTACAGATTAGTGTTATATTTTCTTTTATAATTGTTTGAATTAACTCATTCTTAGTGTTGTGCTTTTTAGAAGATGCTGCTAAAAAAGAAAAGCGATATAAGGAGCTATTTTAACAGTCAGAAAGTATGTAACATAGGATATATAAAAGGTTGTGTTACATTTAATATTTTAGTTGTATAATAGTAACATCATAGGAAACACAGATATCCAGTAATAATGATGCAGGGCAGCTTGAAGGTGAAGCATCTGGCTCTTCAGTGCTTCAGGTGATGTCTAAATGATTAAGGAGAAACTTTTTATTTATATACTATATAAATATAAATTCATACTTGATATTGCTGAATTTAGTGAAACAATGAGTGTTGATGCAGCACAGATAGAGAAGTGTCTGAAACTTCGGGGCTTCAGCTGACAATCTAATTTAGTTCACTATGAGTAATTGATTCAATGATGCTGCATGATTTTTAGTGTAGTTTGCTTATTTACAAGTGTGTTTTGTATGCTGTTATCTCCACTATAGATGTAGTATGTACAAAATATCTTTGCAATGTTATGATAAAATTAGGGCTGCAACTAATGATTATTTTGCAAATCAATTAATGTGATGATAATTTGTTCCATTAATAATCGGATTACAAAAGCTTCCTTAAAGAAGATTTTTTTATGAAATTAAACCAGGGGAAACTAAAATGTTTCCTCTTGAGGAGTTCTGGATGAAGAATATTGACAGACAAAAGCATTGTTAATATAAAATGCAAAATGTTTCCATAGTTTTTTTACAATGTTAATTTAATTACTGCTCTAAGTGGGTCACTCTGTCAGCTAAAGGTATGTTTTAGATTCTCTATACTCCAGTTGATGATTAATCTATTACTAAATTTGACATTAATTCATTAATGAATTAATCATGATTAATCTGATTAATTGTTTCAGCCCTTTAAAATACATGAAATGGGCTACACAGAGTAACTACAGCCCATATGTACAACTTGTAAGTTAATATTTTAATAATCAGTGTCAGTTCCTCTTCTAGTTCCAGTGCACATGTAAATACAATACATTTATTTGCCGTCCGTTGAATGTATTATTTTGCTTTGTTTCATTATACAGAGACAGCCTTTAAAAGATAAGAATGGGGTTTACCTCTGCACAATTCTATATCTTTAAACGAAAATACAAGATGAATCCAGCAGAAATATCTAGACTATCTTTGATTGAATAGGCAGGTATTTACCTTCTGTCTTAGTCGCGTGATGCTTCAAACATTGATAAACAGCATGTAGTTTGTTTAATGCTTATAAAATTTGTATAACTGTAGCAAGAAATGC